TCCTACAGCTTTGGCTGCACCAGTTGAAGCTGGGATGATGTTTTGGCCTGCACCACGGCCATCACGCCACAGCTACGAGCAGGAAAAAATAAAAAAACTGCAGTGTACATTCTAAATTACATACTGACAACCTCATTAATCATATAAAATTCTAATATCTTGAGAAAGTTATGAACTGTCAGTGTTATTTTGTAGTATCAAACTACAAATTTTGTCCATAAAATGAGGCCACTTTCAGAACAAAATTTACTTATTTTTAATTTTCAAACATGACACATTTTGTGGATTTAAATGTGGATACTTGGGAAGTCAACTGCCTCTCCCCCAAAATTTGCTTATATATACTGCATCCCTGGGTTTACCCCTCAAATTTAGAATTTATTCAATGTCTCTTAATTTAATCATAAATGTAACAGCATTGAACAACACAGTATTGAGTTCTGAAAGAGGCACTAAATCTCACAATTCAATTAGCACTGAAATTTTTGGAAAGACATCAACATATAGTCGATATCACAATTCAATTAGCACTGAAATGTTTGGAAAGACATCAACATATAGTCGATATGGTGGGTTCCCTTTTACACAATATTTTTAACAAGAAATAATACCTTTCCAGAAGGACCATCCACAGTCTTCTGTGTTGCAGTAACTGCATGAACTGTGGTCATAAGTCCTTCAACAATTTCAAAGTTGTCATTGATGACTTTAGCAAGAGGTGCCAAGCAGTTGGTTGTGCAAGAAGCATTGGATATCACCTTCAATGATGGGTCATATGACTCAAGGTTCACACCAACAACAAACATGGGGGCATCTGCACTGGGGGCAGAGATGATTACTTTCTTAGCGCCACCTTCCAAATGTGCCTGTAACAGTTAAATTACACATCAAAATATTTCCTTTTTCAGAACTTCCATTATTGGTTTAAGAGAAACTCATAATACCCACAGAAGCTTTTTCGATAGTTGTGAACACTCCAGTAGATTCTACAACGTACTCAGCACCAGACTTTCCCCATGGGATGGCCTTTGGGTCTCTCTCAGAAAAAACAGCAATCTTCTGGCCTAAATGGAAAGAGTATGCTTTACTGCTTGGCAACATATAAGAGTAATATTCAAGGTTCAGAGTGTACCAAATTTGCATACATGCAGATAAAGCAATACAAATAAAAGCAGTTTTCTTAAAGTACTCACCATTTACAATCAACTTATCTCCTTCTGCCTTAATTTCACCCTTGAAGCGACCATGAGTAGAATCATATTTGAACAGGTAAATCATGTAATCCAGTCCAATGAATGGATCATTGATGGCAACAACCTGAAAAGATTTCACATTTATAACATGATTTTACGTTCATCGTGCATTTGTTCAAAAATAAATAACAGCATTCACTTACCTGAGCTCCCTTTTCAAGGGCCGCCCTTAGAACAAGACGACCAATACGGCCAAATCCGTTGATTCCAATCTTAGACATGATGTATTAAATACCACCTAGAAAAGTATCAGCCCGCATTTATTTAATGTTGACATTTTCACTTATATATTTTGTTGCATCCTTGGAATAATTATTGGACAGCATAATCCACGTGCTATGAACTTAGGTTAATCAAGTAGTGCCTCATTGAAATGTTTTATTATTCCGAAAAAGTTATGTAACTGGAATTTAATGCTACATTCACACATGCAATTTTCGCTGCTGTACTTATATTCTGCCATGTTTTATATATAAGTTGGTAAGACCAAATACATACGTAGAGGGCACTTGAAGGTCGAACCCATTTTGACAAGAGTTTCAACTCAAATCAAGCCGGCTTTTAACTCTAGTAGTGACAAAGGAATCCAATGCACATAATAGTATACAGTTCCCACGTTTCGTTAATACTATGTTAATTACACCATGAGATTAATTCATTATACATTTACAGCACTACTGGGACAAAGAAAATGTGTACTGCATTAGAAAACATTGATACTTCCGAAAGAGATACACACTTCTCTTAAACTATTTATTACTTACGAAAGTGCTTTAGAAAGAAAACCTATGAACTCTTCACCTCCTTGGTAGAGACTCCCTAATGATATCCCGTCACTCTTGAAGGGCAAAGAGGAGGATTACGTCGGTATGAGACCCCACTGATCACGTGATCCCCCCCATATTGCATCCTGAATATCGACGCTAAAGGAGGTGCACTGCCCTGACATGCGTCACGTAACATGTGATGTGTAAGGCGGGCATGGTGAATTGGAGGTGATGGTTAACACACAATTGCTTGGTGTTTCGTTATAATTCTATGAAACCACAGTATCTGCATTCCAAATACATATACAACTTTCACAGTGGATGTTTTTAAGACCACCGAAATCTGACTCCATTGTGCAAGTTATTCCCGAAAATGTTGGTAATTACCCAGCCGGTAAAAAAAAAGTCCCACTCACCTCTTTATGTACCCCGAAAACTAATTACCGTGTTCACAAAAGCCCACCGCTGGATCCTTTGTTGACTGATGTAGTTCATTCCATTTTGTACTTTCACACCCCATTTCTCCAAAATAAATTTCGATATTATTATCGCATTCTAAGCATAGGTTTCCCACTGTATCTCCAACATCAGTACACGAAATGGATATGGCAAGAAAAGTACTTTGGAATTAAGTAGACAGCGTCTACGACCATTTTCGGCCCAGATATATGGGAGATTCGTATTTTAATTGGAACTACGAAGTGACGCCATTAGTATTTGGGCTAGTGCGCATGTGCAAATTGTGTGGCGTAAGTTAATGCTGACATTGACTTACAGCAATTTGTAACGTTTCAGGCAAGTAAGCAGATGTCGTAAATGTGAGTTTTTATCATAATATTGGTTGAAAATATGGAGATCTCAGAATTCTGAAAACAATGGCGAAGTGGGGTACAGATCAGACAATAAAATTTTTGAAAGAATATTCCACATACAATTGCCTGTGGGATTATAATGATGAACAATACAAGAATAAAAATTCAAGAAATGATGCATTACGAGCACTGGCTGCATTCATGAACCTTGAAAATTTTGATGCCAATGCAGCCAAAAATAAAATACATTCTATAAGAAACACATACATGAATGAGATGACCAAAATAGCACGTAGTAAGAAGTATGGTAAAGTTTACAAACCACAATTGCCATGGTTCAATCTTGCAGACAATTTTCTTCGTAAAATAGTTAAAAAGAGGGAAACTCAATCAAAGCTGGTAAGTGATTATTTGCTTTCAAGTGTTACAAAGTACTGCCCTTATTACTGTGTTGTTAAATTAAATTATGTATATTATAAAAATTTTAAATTATATAACTGCAAGTGTTTTGACAAGTTATCTAGTCTTTGTTACTTTTCTTTTATGTGTCTTATCAAAGAGTGACTCTTTCAAAGAAAATACACTTTTAACATGTTAATTTGAATAATTCTATTCTATATCAGTGTTTCAGCTATAACCAGTTTTAAGTTAAATAATTTTACTGCTGAAATCATTGTGTGAGAATCCTAAACCTATAATAATTATAATACTCTCTGAATGGGGAATATACCTTCTTGCAAAGAGCCCATGTAGTTGAGATACAGTTTGAAATTAAATGGAGTAGTCTGTATAGTATTTTAAAATGATTAATGTTTGAATCATTATTCTTGTAATTCTTAAATGTGTGGATATACGTCATACAAAACTCAGTTGAAACAAAGTCCTTTATGAAGTTAATAGTCAGTTTGTTTTGAATGTCTTCCATATGCTTTAAAACTTGGAAGCCATATTATATTTACAGTTCTCATGGTGGTGTTATGTTGTTGTTCTGGAGTGTGACACCATGTGGTCATATAGGTAGATACCAGCATTTCAGAGAAACATACCGTCTTCATCAGGCCATGTTTGTCCAGTGATGGATATTGTTTCATACTGGTAAATTTAGTAACATAATTAGTAGGAACAGGAATTACAGCCATTTGAAACAAAATTAGCCTTACTCAAACTTCTGTGGTAGTCATACACATGCAATTTAAGTTCACTTCATATAATATACCACTTAATAGTTTGCCACCATGCCAGAGAATGTTTAATCTGAAATTAGAATTTCTGTTAATGAAATCTGTAACAGTTTTTAAAGGAAACTTATATCAACTTTATATTGAAGAAATTAATGTAAAACAACTTTTACTTTCAGGTGTTAATTGATCAAACAACCAACAATTCTGCTGGAACATTTTGTGACTCAATTTCAGAAAAAGGAACTCCATCCTTTGTTTTTCCTCCGCTGGACAAAATTATGTTTGCAAAGTCACAAAAGCCAGAGTCATCAATTTCAGCATCAAATGTGGAAAAAGATGCACATCCATTTTCATCTCAAAGTTCCAAACCTTGGCAACTTGCTTCTATATATCCATCCTTATTCTCAGATCACTATCCCCCTGAATGTACTAATGAAAGTGCTTCAGAGGTAAGAAAAAAGACACTTGGTCATCTGTTATATTTAGAAAATGCTCTTGCATCTCTCAGAGATATTCCCAGCTCCAAACATAGAGAAGATGAATTTGATGCATTTGCTCGAAGTATAGCTATGCAGATGCGAAGCCTACCTGTAGAAGAGGGATTAGAACTTCAAGGGGAAATTCAGAACCTTGTAGTGCAGAAGAGACTAGTATCAATTCGTAAGAGGCATACAGTGGATAACGTAAAAGCTCCATCAGTACCAGTATCACATTCTCCATAAGGTTCAAGCAAAGATTATTTAAATTGTAGTGGAGTGAGTGAATGACATGTGACAAGTGATGCTGAATAAAAGATTAAGTATTACAATATTAATATAGTTACTGTAGTGTTAATGCTTTAGTATATTAGGGTCTAAAATCATGTAACAGCAGTAATATGTAAGACTTGTAAATTTCTGTTATTATGATGATTATGATTATAAAAGAGTTCCAAAAAAGTGTAACAGAAGTTAGTAGAAGATTCTCCTTAATTACAGGAAAATTCCGCATTGATTAATTAGACACAAAATCTGGTGAAAATAATTAAATAACTGAATAATTCTTTCTTGCTCCACTTTAAAGACTGATGCTAACAGAACAGTTATTTAAAATGTCTCATATATTATATTACAGTAAATTTGGATCTTCATGTGTTCACTGCATTACATGCAGGAAACACATCAGTCATAGACGACAAATTAATCTGATAATTATTATCTCTCCAAGAAGTGTTGCCATCGAAGTGTAATTAAGTTAAGATGAATAAAAATACATATATTGATCTAATTTTATGCAGGAGCCTTTACTTTACTCACTGAATATTTTATAACAGTCTTTTGGTATGAAAAGTATACGAATGCAAGTTAAAACCCCGTAGTCCTGGTCCAGTGATTCGATCCATGATGGGGGCAGAGGATTTTTCCTCTAGCTTTGCGTCCAGACCGGTTCTGGGGCCCCCCTAACCTCCTATCCAAAGGGTACCGCGGTCCTTTCCCCGGGGTAAAGCGCGGCAGGGGAGTGATGCTGACCACTCACCCCCATCTAGTGCCGAGGTCAGGAATGAATAAGAGCTATACCTTCTTTCACCCCAAGCGCCTACATGGCGTATAGTGGGGCATCTTTACTTTACATTTACATTAATTATATATAATCTCAGTTTATAAATTGTGGCCTATTGTTTCTCGACAACTCCCACATTGCTGGACTGACTCCAACCGTTGAAAATCTATTTTAAATGTCATGGACCCTACATCTCAAATATCGTCATTCTTCACGGGAACAGAGCCCCATAATTTTAAAGCCGGTGGGTGAGTCATATTATTCGACGATTTACAAAGCGGTAATTTAAGACTGCCAGATCGTAACTGTTTTATTTGTATGTGTGGTTCATTGAACCGTTTTCAGTATCTCAGCCTTTTTCGTGTCGAATGAGATGATTAACGAATAATAAATTGGAAAGGATGAGGAAGAAGCGGTCGTGGCCTAATTTAAGGTTGTTAAAACTGCCCGATACAAATTAAAATTGCACAATTTTTCACGTATTTCTCCAGCATAACTTGTAATCAAAATCGGTTCAGCCATTTTCGAGTTTTGTTATGCGTATGGACAGAGGAGCGACTTTAAAAGGCAATCCGCGAGGTATTGAAATGATAAGACAGCTTTACTTTTTTAATGGCCGTTAACCCTGCCATATTTCGAAAGAGGAATCTTATGAAATCGACTCTAAAACGTTATCGTTACGTAGTTGTAGAAAATATGGGCCTGCATACTTGTAAATTGTGCAACCGGATTGGCTATAATCTATACAGAATTCGAGTACCTCCAACGTTTTACTTATGCTCGTTTACAACGGGTTTCAAAAATTCTCCTGTTGCTTCTGCATACTAATGTACTTCACTAATACATTGAAATAATGTATGATTTAAGAATAATATAATTACAATGATCCAAATTCTTAAAATGTTAATATTTCTAAACATGACATATTCTGTTCATTAATCGTTATTTAATTATGTGCCATCGTATAATCCATGTCATACGTCACTGTAGAAGTTGCTACATAAGCAGCTGTTGGAAGTTTCATATTTGTAGGTTCATAATGCAAAGCTCCAAGAAACAGTGATATTCACGTTCAGCCAGTATTACATAACTAAATGCTATTTTCTGCAGGGAATGTAGTCACACTGTTTAGCGTAGTGGAACAGCTGACTAGTTGGATAATGAGTGGTGTGGCTCGCTGAGGATCGAGTGTTTGCTTGGTGCAAGAGAGGTTGTGGTTTGTTGAAAGAAGTACTGTTGGAGCAATAAGGAGAAGTTTTTCACATCACATTCATCACAATGGCGGGAGAAAAGCCGAAGACCATTCCAAATTCTATTAAGTTTTTGTTTGGTGGACTCGCCGGGTAAGTAGTAAAGTGTGAGTCATTTCTATTTTCTAGAAGTGAAAACGTTTCAAAATGCGGTAATTGATTTGGATATGCGCTTGGTCGCGGAATATTTTAATGTTTTTTTCTTTTTTCCGAAAATGATGCCCCTTTAAGCAACTAATTACAACACATTTGTAACATAGTTTGTAATAATATTAATTTACAGCATGGGAGCAACATGTGTCGTCCAACCTCTTGATTTGGTAAAGAACAGGATGCAGTTAAGTGGTGAAGGAGGAAAGTCAAAAGAATACAAAACAAGTTTTCATGCAATTCAGGGAATAATAAAAAAGGAAGGAATTGTGGCCATGTATACAGGTCTATCAGCTGGACTCCTTCGACAAGCTACGTATACAACCACAAGACTTGGAATATACACTTGGCTCTTTGAAACATTCTCAGGGTGAGTTCTTTTAATTTTAGTCTGATCAGCAAGAAGTTACACTTCTGTAATTATGTCAGGTGGAACCTAGGATACTCCATGTAAAAGTCTGTGCATGTTCCAACTAAACATTTTGTATAGAGTGAGTAGTGACCAGTGTAATGAACAGGCACACCAAATAAATGTAAGACCATGTGGCAAGACTACATTTTAGTAAGGCTCTTGCAGATGTGTTATGTGATGAACAAAACTCAAGGTACTGTGTAGTATTCACTGCTTCTGCCTAATATCATATGACATTAAAATGAGGTCTAGAATATATTGTGTTAAATAAAGCTTTGGATTTCTGTATGACCCATCACTTGCAAATAGTGACACATTCGTATTGCTCACACAAAATAACTAAGTAATGTTATGTGTAAAGTAGCCAAAATATATGGGTTAATACACAGAACTGCAGCCACTAGTAGTTGATTAGATCCCCAAACTCCTCCCTTTTCTGCAGAACTGTAAAACTGCTGACTGACCTAATTCAAAAACTTGTCACTGATTTAAAATGATACTTATAGACTGTTAGTCTTTCTATTTTTGGCCAAGTTCAGCCAATGCAGGAAGTACTCCTCATGGACCTCGTTATGAATATTATTCAGGGTGTAATAAATGTAAAATTCAGTTGATAACGTAACTTATTCTTTGTGTGTCTGCTGAAGGAATTTCTTTTTCAGTCAGTTTCACCAAAATTCTATGACATTTATTTTTCAGATGTTACTAAGTATGTGCAATTTTGTGTGCCTGTGTGGGAGTATCCCAAGGTTTCTTGGTTTACCTCAGTGTAGCTAGTCAGAATGGATTTATGTTTAACCAAACAAGGTTGTAAAATTAAATGACCTTCAAATGAACTTGTGGTTATGGTTACAGTTGAAATATTGTTTTAATCAGTTAAATGAATTATGTTGACGCAGTGTGGACTGGAATCCAAAATTCAATCAGAATTTTGCTGTCAACACTGTGTCCAAAAAGTTCTGGGACCTATGTAAGAGGAACTCAAGTTTATTGCTAATTAGAAGGACGTGTTATTGGCTCACTGTTCATCAATTAAACTATGGGAAGCAGCAGTATAGTTTTTATCCGTTGATGTTTCCACCAAGGCAGGTCATTTATGACAAAACCTCCCCCATATCATTATATCCTTAATGTGACTCTCTTATTTTGTAGTTTATTATAATTTTATCTGTGTATATTTTACTTTTGTATTAATAATTGACCTATAGGACAGATGGCAAGCCCCCAGGTTTCTTTGTAAAAGCAGCTCTGGGAATGGCAGCTGGAGTAGTTGGTGCCTTTGTAGGAACACCTGCAGAAGTAGCATTGATCAGAATGACAGCTGATGGTCGATTACCTCCAGCTGAACGACGGAACTACAAAAATGTGTTCGACTCATTATTTAGAATTGTAAAAGAAGAAGGAGTCCTCACACTTTGGCGAGGAGCAATTCCAACCATGGGCCGAGCCATGGTGGTGAATGCTGCTCAACTCGCATCCTACTCGCAGGCCAAACAATTCCTCCTAGATACCAGTGAGTATCAGTTGTTTTATTTGTATTCGCAATAAACTAAGCTAAAATCATTTTCTTCTTCGGAGTGATCAAAAGTCAAGCACCTTATGCTCTAGCATTACTTTATCACAGAAAAACATGTTGGATGCATTCAAACACATAGTGTAGTGAGCATAATCTTCAGCTGCCCCGGTATGTATCAGATGTGTGTAAGCCTCTAACAGTAACAGAGTATTATTTGCAAGAGCAGTAATTATCCATTGTTGAATATTACTTTTAGTTACCAAAATTTATGTGTTTCCATATTTTCTGGTTCCAAATAAAGTGACATGGTGCTTCTACATTGAACATTTATGTGATCAGAGAGCATCAGTGATAACAATATCTGTTGAGAGAATTTTAACATATAAAACATAAGGACATTTAAATTAAGTGGTTAGAGAGTGTCAAGATACAGTGAACGTAGATGGTGCAGCAAAGGGTTAGATACAGTTCAACCTAATTGATGTTCTTTTGTTTCTTTATTTCCAGGTTACTTCAAGGATAATGTCTTCTGCCACTTTGTTAGCAGTATGGTTTCTGGCCTTGTTACTACGGCTGCTTCTATGCCAGTTGATATAGCAAAAACAAGGTAAAATTACTCTCCCCCAAAATAGTGTACTTTTTCTAGACATTGCTAAAATATGTATCATTTTCATGGTATTAGTGTCACACCTTGGGGTGGTTGGGTGGTCAGCATGATGTGTGGTGCAGGAGATGGCTCTCTTCCGGGTTGTTGCGCCGTGTAGTGTGGTAGAAATTTACTGATGTTTCAGAGGCCCTTGCTGCGTATGTATTTAGGGCACCAGACTACATCTCTCAACACCACAAAGACTGCCATATTTATTCTCGTCGCCGTGAGTACCCGAAAAATCAATGATTGCTGGCTGTATCTGTCTGTCCGCATAATTCAAATACAAAACCGGTGTACAGTTTAAAGATTTGTTTATTCTTTCAATCAGCACATTCTGTTGTTTGTGTGTGCTATGTTTAGCGATAGAATGTCAACCTTTATTGACAGTGTGTCACTGTACATGATCCAGCTGGTTGTACATCACAGTAGCATACCATTAAACTGTTGAACCATGTAGTTAAAGTACGTCGAGCAGCCCCTTAGTCATGGATTTAAATCCCCTATATCTGTATGATAAACTTTAAACTATAGAAGAATCATAAAATAAATAACATGACAAATATTGCACATGATGTAAAAGTGATATTGGGGCTGAATACTCTTCATTGCCACGTTTAGAACAGCTTTTCCACCCACCTGTGTAATGGGTACCAGGCCATTTCTGTATGGGCAAAGGGGACTGGAATGAAAAGTTGATTAGTCAAATTCATCTAGTACTGAGGATAAGACTGCATTGCTGTATGTATTCATTTTATGTATGTTATGTAAAGAACGCGTAACAACTGACTGTCATTATTCTTCCTTATCTGTTCTTCCATCTATATTCAATCAGCATAAACCAGCTACACACTGGAAGAAAATGCTGTAGACTAAAACAGTGTAATTGCTGAATAGAAAGTACTGCAACTTGTATAATTGATAAATGCAGAGGTCACCCACTGCTATTTAACCTTTACCTATATATGCAATGTTATCCCTTTAATTTTTCTCTTTCTATTTTAGAATCCAGAATATGAAAACAGTTGATGGGAAACCAGAATATACTGGTGCTGTTGATGTACTAGCAAAGGTTGTACGCAAAGAGGGTTTCTTTGCCCTTTGGAAAGGATTCACTCCATACTATGCTCGACTTGGGCCACATACTGTTTTGACATTCATATTCCTGGAACAGATGAACTATACATACAAGAAATATGTTCTTCAGGACAAAAGTGGAAAAGGAGGTGGACTGTAAATTAATTAAACAAGAAGACTGCAGGTTGTTGTATCCATTGTCTGTTATCATAGAGCATTGCTTATCATTTAAGAGAAGAAAATATATTGTTCATAATATTTGGTTATAAAATATTTTAGCATTTGGTTTTACTTCTTACTGTGTCATGTTTTGTTTTTTGGTCGATTGTTGTTTAAGTGTTAAACTTTTTTGTTACTCCAATTTTATCCTGATTGAAATTTTTGGAATATGGTAATACTCATAATATATTTTATATTGCATTTTACTACTGTGGCCTTCTTTTCTTTTAAAATCACTTTTGAATGGGAATATTTCATAAAAGCACATGTAATCAGTGGTTTTATAAATCATTCATTAATCATCTTACCATTTCATGCTATATAGTCTGAGGTACTGATAGCATTATTAAATAAAACACAAATAAATAAAACCGGTATGCAGAGAGCATCAATAATAGCAAAATCATATGTATTTGTAAATTGTGCCATTGTAACTTTATAATGATTAAAAGCTCATAGAGTCTTTATCTGAGCCTTGGATGGTTGAATAACATTGTCTGTGTAACAAGCAAACCATGCAAAAGAAAAACGTACCTTTCCATTCATTAAATTCATTTGGACTATTTAGAAATGTTGACGAATAGAGCAAAAATAAGGGCAGGCCTTGTAGTTGCAATGGATATTACACATCTTACAACTAGAAATTTGAGACATTAGTAATTTCTGGTGAAATGAACATGTACAGTTTACCTTGTGAATTTAAAGTGCTGCCTATCTTTCTTCATTAGTCTTCAGCTGTCTTTAAAAATAGTTTTCACCTGTTATTTCCATATTCTTGGTTCGTCTAATGGTACTTTTGTTTGTTCAGAGTATTTAGCATTGAATGATATGTTATTTAGGGAATAATGAATTGGAAATGACGTGGAAGGAAAATGTTGTGACCTAATTAAAATATTGCAATGACATTTGTTTAGATTCACTAAGGAAAACTGAAAATCTGGGCTGAGATTGATTCTGAAACCTACCAAATAGAAGCAGAAGAGTTAACTGCTTAACCTGTTATTGATGAGAAGGTACATGTGTATAGTTAAATATACAATAGCTTAATAATTTTGTGATTAAGAATTTAGTTCTTGCTGTGTGTACAGTATACTGTCCAAAATTAGTTTTATAAAGCTGATATTAATAGTTGAATTGTTAAAGCAAGCGATGCCTGCTTGTTTAATTCCCGTACACGTTGAAGGAAATAATGCATAACGTCCTTGCTTGATGTGATATTTGACGTTTAAATTTTGGCTTTACTTTTTGTCTTCCATTAGTACAAGTTGGCTATACTGTAACCTGTCTGCGAGTCCATGCTACAAGATTGTGTTAAAGTGTGATACTTTAAAAAGCTCCTTGCAAACAATTACAATAATACAGAACTACATACATGGATAAAACAGTCTCGTTAAAATATTTTCATATTTATGCATCAGCTATCTTGGCCCGTTCACATATAATCAGTGAAGCAACTTGTAACTGTCTCTTCTCTGTTCAGGCTTTCTGATATTTTTAATGTGTGTGAAGAGGTTATCACTTATGTGATTGCATTGCTCTCTGCCACTTATATTGCTGGTCTTAGGGATCTATCACTGTGTGGACTTGCAAGCAGATACCAGACGGTTTATTTCTCTGAAATGTTAGTATCTATGTACATGGACACACTGTGTTTCTACCCGGAAGACCAACATCTTCACCTTTGTGAGAACCTCAAATCTCATATAACTTATAATGTGGCCAAATGTCACTGAAAGGCCTGCAAAAACATGCCTAACAGTGTGTAACAAAAGTGTAATAATTCAAACTTTTATAGTTGGATGAAACTCATGTTCCTGTAATTTCTTTAACAACAGTGTTTAAGTTAAAGATACAAGCTAACGTAGTTTTAATAGGTTCAGTATGAAGTTAATGTTATCATAAAAAATACAGCATATATGTTTATACATTAAGTAAATGACTTACTTTATTTATTTAATTTTCTTAAATTATTTTCTTGTAGACAAGGTCATACAGAAATTTTTATTTATTGGAGCATTAATATTTAAATGTTCAACACACTGTGGGGAAGTTTAAGTGTATATTCTTTGTCAATGCAAAAGTTTGAGGTCGAAGCAGAATCCATATTTTACTGGATTCCATTCTATAGGGATCACCAGTCTGTTATTTTAATTTTATTTTCCTCTGATTTTAGTATTGTTAGAAGACTGAAAATGATTGTGCGAACAAAAGCATTGAACAAAGAAACTTTTCTAAAATATCTAATTCTGATATGTGATGGTTACCATGACTGCACATATGCATGTACCTCCAAGTTAGAAAGTGGGGAAATAACTTGAAACCCCAAACTACTAATGCTTTTCTAGTTTAAATATCTCACAAGGGAATACTGAAGTTGCAAACCCAAAGTGAAGATACAAATACTGATATGTAATATATTAATCTCTTTATTCTTTAATCCATTAATATTTTGTGCTTTATACTGAATGTATATATTTAAATGGAAAGTCATATTTATTGAGAAAAGCCTTTTACATATCAGTGCTCATTCACTGCCAGGTATTTAAATTGCTAGTTTAATCCTGTGTACCGGGTGGGCATTGCCTCAGCAAATCAGCATGTCTTTGGTTGGGAAATTAATTCTATTGAATGTATTTTGGAAATGTACACATATTTCATTCTTCAAAATTTTCACTGATCTGTAAAGGTTTTGTTATATCTGGATAATGCCTGTTGGAAAAGATATGTTTATATTACAAAGATGATCATATCTGGATAATGCCTGTTGGAGGAAAGATATGTTTATATTACAAAGATGATGTGCAAGTTGTTGGTGATCTGCAAACACATTCTAGTGGTTATTCCTGTCACTGACGTAGGTTGTATTAATCATTTAACTAAATCTGTCTTATTACTTCCGTTCACGAGAATGGTAAGCTTGGTCATTTTCTTCATTGTATTTCGTCATATGTTCATTGTTCTGGCAATGTCAGCTGCTGTTACTGAGATACGACATTCTACATAATGGAGATATTTAATGATGCTATATTTTGTGAATAAAATAATAAACACCATTTGCTGCCTTTGATCTGTTTGGCCCATGGTTTGCATGTTGAATGATGAACCTGATAATGGAACTTACAACAGCTGGTATTTACATTAGCAAACAAAAGTAAAGGCTCAAAGGGAAATGACAATAACTGTAGTTGAAGTTATAAATGTTGAATAGTTTATGATGGCTGCATGTTAATTTCTTAGGTTCATGGTACATATCTTATGGTTCATTGGAATAAAATGTTTGTGTATGTGTGTATATATATATATATATCAGGTGGTTATTATTATTTAGTGTTGTCTGACGACAGGTCCATTGTTCTGCCCAAAAAGAGTTCGCCAGTTTTCCCTATTTGGTACAAAGAAATTAATTTATAAAAACAAATTTAAAATTTTACAGGTCACTGGTTTGAATGAATCTCACTTTTGTTGTATGGAACATAACTAAGTTTGTCTGCTCCAAACTGCAAGTTATAAAATGCTGGCAGTTTTGTACATGTTTAAGGGAATATTTTTTATGCACACACATTTGCTTAACTGTAGGTAAAATTGTAGTGTATGTAACTGGTGAAATTTTATATTGATGTCAGTTTTCACCACCTGATTTACGTATAGGAAGGAATTGGTAAAGAACTGCTCAAATATGTCAGATTATCTCTTACAGACATTTTTGTAGACAGTTTTTGATCCACAAATCAAATTAAACTATGAAGCACATGATACTGACAGTTTTTCAGCTGAGATATCAGTATAATTTTCCATACTGACTATTATTTCACTTGTATTTAGAATGTACATACATTCATATTAATTTCATATAGAAAAATATATAATTGTTATTTTATGCTAGTTGTACTTTTATTCAAATAATTTATTTAAATTATGGATATTTAATTTTATTGTATTGTTCTTTATTTCAGTAGGATACCCAAAATGATGCATGAGTACATTCTTAGCACAAATTTGAATTAAACGTACGGCTTCAGATGACTTGCTAAAGATTGGCCAGATCCTGTGCAAATTTTTCTGTGTGCCTTCCACTAACCGTGGAAGAAGTGGAACTCATTAATATCAAGAAGAACCTGGCATGATTTGGAGTTCAGATTAAGGTGTAGTTCTCTGCTGGCCATCATCTTCATCGTCACTCCATTGTCAATAGTAAGTGGAATCCTCTCTGTGGAAACTTAGTATGAAGCAAATTCGGAAAACCTAATTGAATGCTGTAGGTCTGCTGAAGTTGTTGGAATGTAGCCAGATCTTAGTGGCCACTTCTATTAACAATCCATGTTGCCTATTATTGTAGCCAGTATTGTGGTATCCTTGAAGTTGTTACATTGTGCTGCCCGGATGCCATGTCCAGCCACTACCAATTTCTCCAGTTGGAATAGGTTCACTTACTCCCTTAATCGTGTGATTTATCTGCCTGTCCATCTGACACAGTTTACAACATTTATGGTTACCAACTTAATCTAACAAAGTAGGGCCACCAAGGATAATGGAAGGAAAGATCACAGTAGCTAACATCCCAGGTTGGACTATGATGATTGCTTGCCTCCACCCTCTATTCCCTGTTGGCATATTCTCCAACAAAGACACCAGGCTTCAAGAGTTAACTGTATATTAGATACGATGGGTAGTTGTATCACTCATCACATCAACCCATATTGACTGAGGCAGACATAGTCTCTGACACTCTGGAAAGTAACTGCAACTTATCACCAAATCAATCTTCACTACATTTTCTCGTTTCTCTCATTTAATACCCCATAAGAACTTCATCAACAATAGTTGCCACTGCCCAATGAAGTGTTAAGGGACACTATTAAGGAAATGAAATAAACCTTAAAGCTCACATTTATTTCACAACAGACTAGAATTCATAAATCATGATACAGTTTATGGGCTGTTTTGACATATATAACTCATGTATTGCATCACAAATCTGCTTTATCATAATTTCAAATATACAGCTTAGGTATTTGTCTTACATTAATATGGAACAAACATAAGCACATTCTGATCTAACTTCCTTGTTTTTGCATATGCTGTAATGTTAGAAAGAGGTAGTAATGAGACAATTGTTACTTGTTTCAAAACTATCCACCAAGCAGACTAGTAGCCCTTTCAAAAGCCAGCTACATCAGATATTACTAAAATATTTCTGATGACATAAAAGCTCATTACTATCACAGTATTTAAGATGACAGAATGGTGACAATATTGTCAAGAACAGTTGAGGCTGAACACATTATCTAACTGTAAGCAAACTGAACTCAAGCACCAACGTATAATATAGAAACCCCATTCTCTGCAGTTAAATTGTTTGTATCACCTCAAAGGACTGTTACAGTAATCTGCTTGGAGGACATTTTATAAAGTGAAAGTCCATATGAGATGACAGTGACAGAGGATGGGAGCATGTTTAGAAACAGCTGTACTTTTTATACTTAATCTGTTAAAATCAATGGCCACTAGAACATCTCTAACAAGCTTTGAACACCTCAATATGAGGAAATATTTCAGTGATTCACAAAATCAAGTAAATAAAATAAATAATTATAGAACATTGCAGGGATTTTTTTACAACTGTTCATTTTGGTATAATACTGATTTTGCACTGCATAGACCAAACATACTCAGTCAATAGCAATACTGTAAATTATACTGCAGTTTTATGATGAGCAAAATATACATCAAATAGTTCTAGTAAGTCACAGAGATGAAAGGTCATATCTGCCACCTGCCAGTTAGACAAACTGTATTGTAATTATTTCCACTTGTGCATTTATTACTGGATAGACAATATAGGACTTGAAAATCGGAATTATGAATAATCAGAAAGTTGCATCTTCCATTTAAAATCTGAATATAATACATCAGTGGAAGGGCACAACATACAGAATTACTTATTATGAAACCTGGCTTAGTACATGTATGTACATTACTATACTCATATACATTACTGAAAAAATAATTATTTTTAAAGTGTTTAGTATAACAAAACATACAGTTAAATATTAACCATATAATCAAAAGAAGTGACATGAAAATCACAAAAATTGTAAATTACACAAATATGCACCATGTATTTTTTTAATTGTGAATTGCACATGCATCTTTGAAATTGGATGCATTAAAGCTAAGAAAGTAATCATCATGCAAAAACCGAATAATGGACTCAACAGGGCAAAGGTATATGGGTGACTGTTTTTTTGATGAAGACTGTGAATTTGTAGCATTATGAGGGGTTTCAGTTGTGTTGTACTTATGCATCTGATGCATCAAGATGCTGGTTGCACCTTTACAAAAATGGATGTGATTTGTGAGATCTCTACCATTGAAAACAAGACGGAAGAAGAAATCCCTTGCAATGGGGCCATCTTTGGGTAGCTTGGAGATTAGATGTTGCTCTGTATTCTTATACACCTCAAGAACAAGGCGAGAGGCATAATGAGGAACTGTTGTCATCTCTGATACAACACCAAGAGCAGTAGTAAGGTACTGAAGGGTTCTGTCATGACCAGAATATACAATAAGCTTGGGCTTCCGTTCAGAGATAATACGAAGCATATGAGACACTATGTCACGCATGAGACCATATGCCCGGAGCAAACAGTATCGCTTTAGGTTACTGCTCTTCACATACTGTCGAGTCTCCCATTCAGTATATGCAAACAATCCAGTGACTTGCTCCATTCGGACACAAACTTCTTGTGGTACCTTGTTTATTGATAATCCATCAATGCAAGGTAACTGGGCTCCATGGCAGACATAAGTCAACAGAGCATCCCTCAGTGCAATAGGGTCGGACGCAAGAGTAGGATCTGGCATTTCAAAAACAATTTCAGCAACAGTGCTGACAAGTTTCACAACAGCTGGGTGGGATCGGAAATGGTCTGAGCTCTCTGCAGAGAATCTGTGCCTGAATTTCTCTGCTGCTGGACAAGCACAATCATTAAAACAAAATGCTATACTCTGGCTTTCCTTGAGAGTTACCTTCTGAAAATCCTCAGAAGAAAGAAAGGCATAAAGAAATGACAAAGCACTCTGGAATGTTCGTCTGTACCGTGTACTATAGACAGCTATATCATCAGCTGAGAGGGAGCCATTTCCAACACCTAACTTATCCCCATAAACACCTCTCAAAATCTGACCTGTTTTAAGATGTTGAGAAACTCCAACAGGTGTCAGTTGCCCCAGCTGGCATTCCCCTGAACTTGGTGGAACCAAAGGAAAACCATGAAAAGGACCCAAAAACTGGGAGAGAAAGCTTGAAAATCTACCTGGTTCTGACAGGTTTTGAAGAAAATATTCATATGAACGAAAATTTTTATCAGAATCAATGCCACCAGATCGAAAAAGATCTCCTGCACAGTTGACATTAGAGATATTTCTAACATGGGCTAATGGTCCCCGGTCACCATGTCGAAGGAAAACCAATATTCCTTGCAGAATGTAATTCCCATGAACCAGACCTTGAAGAAAAGGAAACCAAATAAGAATATAAACAAATATTTTGAAAATTCTTAAGCAGCATTGGTTATACATATGCTGCACATGTTTCTTATTGTAAATGTGATGTGTCTTAGTTCTTAGCAAGTATTTTAACACTTTCTAATTTACATTTACTACTATGATACTTGCTGCTATCATATTTACCTTCATGTCCAATGATAATTTCCTCTGGAGGGTTGCACAACTTGAATATTCGTCTTGTCTTAATATCAGGCTTAAAATTTTTTGAAAAGCTTCGTATGGGAATATCATTGTTTGTATGCTTCAAGGCAGATATACTGTCTTCATTTCCTATGTATTTATACATTCCTGCAGCAGTAAAACGTAATTAATGTTAATTGTTACTACTTTTTGCACAGGTGTCATTTGTGACTGCATTGTTCCATTGAAAAGATGACAGCAACACCTTATCTTTAGTTCATTTACTGTTGTTAAAAGTTAGTGGCAAGTGTTACTAATCTGGCATATAATATATAAAGAGCAAATAAGCTAATGCCTAATGTATCTGGTAGACCAGACAGCATATAAAATGCCTGCTGTGTAATTATGCGATTGTCAGCCCTCTTTGAATTTGTGTATTATATATTTTAAAATTGTAAATTTTCTGAAGTTATTTCTTCATGCAAAAAGTAAAATGCCTTTTATTTGTTTAAAAGTACGATTGTGGAATGCCATACATATGAAATACTACATACCGGCAACTAAGAGAAATATCCACACACTCAGGATCAAATAGCAATATAACGCTCGATGCTGCGAAGAAAGCTTCATGGTTTAAACGTACTATTGTAATATGTAGAATAAATTATGATCGTGGAAGTGTTCACATTATTACAGATATGACTACAGTTTATCGTTATTCAATAGATTGAATTTGTGCTGTGCATTCAAACTTCATAAATTACCCCGGGTAAGAAGCAAACTACCTCAATATTCGTAGCATGAATAGATGCTAACGAAAAAGATAGGTTTCAAACATACATTTTCCGGTTGTGTACTAATTTCTGTACTGCATGTCAAGGATTTACAGAAATGTGACGTTAACATTACCTACATACAAACGCTTTCTGCCATGTAAAACCAATTCACAGCTTTAAATTTTACCACTAGATGTCAGATATGCAGTCATAGCAATTGACAATCGTTGTAAACAAAGTCACATGGACAGGGAGGAGAATTTCAACCAATGAACTTGTATGTCGGTTGGGCGTAGCCAATGAACTTCGGCTGTGCACGTGAACCGAGCGTGTGCATGGTGCTGTAGATCAATTTGTTATGAGAGGACCCGGTATTGTGTGCGTAACGCATGCTGTTGTATTTTGAAAAAAAAAGGCAAGATTGACAAGAACTACTACAAGAAGAACTTCGTTTATTCTATTATAGTACCCAAGAAATGTGAGAAGTCGTTATTGGTTGACAAACCATGAGATTATTTTATTATTATTTAGTGTTCTGTCTGACGACAGGTCCATATGAACAGGATCCTTCCATCCTTTTCTCGGACTGGGACCTGTTCATATACGTTCTTGGCAGATGATCCAGAAGTGGTTTGCCATTGCCTTCTTCTGTGTGTGAATGGAGTAATTGTTGGGATGCCACGGAGGAAAACTCCGTGTTGCCTAGACCACGGCCTTGCCCAACACAAGTTATAAATCTGAGCACCACCGGGAATTGAACCCGGGACCCCAGGATTACAAGGCTAGTGTTCTGACCACTAGACCACCGTGGCGGTTTTGAGCCATAATAATTCCGTTTTAAACTCTCATGATGCTGGATTACCTGCAACTGATGGATAGAGGTTATGTGAAAATTATGCACATTCTCATTTCTACCCTAAAAGTTGGACCAAGTCGCTCAGAGTCATAGATTACTTACGATATCAGGGTTCCAAATTATTTATTGTAAATGAGTGATGTTAGTTGGGGAAGAGGAGAAATTTTGATGGTGGAAGTGTAGTTAACCTTACCGACTTCGCCGTTGTGTTTAAGTGTGAATCGATCACAGGGCGCAGCACACTATTCACTGCGCCACTTTGCACGCTCTTACATTGTGGTGTCGCATCTTGGTTAGGCTGTGGTGTGTGTTGTGTTAGTACAGAGATTGTGTTTGAGTTGTAAAGTGGTGGAAGCTGTTGTGTAGTATTAAATCACATTCTTTTCTGTTGATGTAGAAATAAACGTGTTCAATGTCTCAGAGAGATACAGTTATTCATCTCGTCGCTGGCGGGTAAGAAAATAAAGTAATTATGGGATATGTGCGTGTAATTAATCTTTTTTCGTTTCGGCGTAAAGAGGTATTTAGATTATACATTTTTAACTGTTTTAAAGTAGACCAGTTGCTAGACTAATTTGTCGATAAATTATTAGTGATTTGCGGTTGTAGACACCATTCAAAGGCGAGTTGTTAGGTATAAGGACCGTGATTAACCTTCGGAGCGCCTTCATAGTGCATTGAACACAAACAGGAACTAAATAAAAAGGATAATGCCTCGTTTTGTGTTTTTTAATCGTGTCATTGTGGTCCCATGTACTTTTTTCTTGACAATGAAAGAATTCTCTTCTTGTTCAGGGTGGCTGGTACTGTTGGTGCAATAGTGACATGCCCTCTGGAAGTAGTGAAGACACGCCTCCAGTCTTCGTCTTGTGGATTTCATGTTCAAAAAGTTTGCTTACCGAAGATTGCAGCACCTGGGGGCAACAGCAGTCATGTGACATGTAAAACTATTCTTCCTCACCAACGAAGGAGACTAACAACTTTTGCAGCTAGAAACTCTACTCAAATTTTGGCCATTTCACACTGTGGGGTTTCCGGGGCTAAAACCATGGGACTTCTTCAGTGTCTCAGGTAGGGCTAACAGAACACAGTTAATAGTTATAGTTCTGAAAAGTGTTTTCATTTATGTAATCTAAAACCTAGAAATGACAGATTAAACAATAAAGAATAATTATTGGATATTTTCTATTAAATCCTTGTGCTTGATTGAGATTACTGCTTCTAAAGGTAATTGTGACTGGTAATATGACACAGGGTTGCAAGGATTCTTGGCACATGTCTGATTTTTCATAGAGATAGAATTCTATCTAATAGCTCAGTATTTGTGAGGCTCTTAAAGTTGTCGGTAATATAAATTAATTTTCAGAATAAAAGGAACTAAGGATATTTTATTTCTTGATTTGCTTCAGCGTAATATTCTTCAGACAGAATTATTTTTGCTTGTGTGATAGTTGAAAAATAATCCATAGATTCCCAGATTTGATTTATTTTAGGACAACAGAAAGATTTTCCAAGTAACTGTTCAGAACTAAAATGTGGATACTGATCTACGTGCCAGTAATTGCTAATTATAAAATCAGCCAACTATTGAATAAAATAATTAGACCTGCTGCTGTCAGAATCACAAGAATTATAGATTGTTAATTTGTGCAACTGCAAATTTATTGGCTGATATTCAACAGCATCTTTCATTGTTTTAATTGTAATTGATGAAGGAGCATATCATTACATACCGATCCACGATTTATAAATGCATATATCATACTGTGCACTGCCCCGTGAACATCCCACATAGTTTTAATGTAGTTTGTTGTAAGAATGTTCGTGGTGACATGTTTATGTTATGCCACATCACAGTAATGTGGATTAGTTGTAAAAAAATATTTAATTGTTTGTGAAAATATTGTTTTAGAACCTAGCTGAGTCACACTAGCTTCAATGCAGTGAGTGACCAGAATACGCAACTCCTGTGGAAGAGTTTTAGAGAGCATGATTCAAATTGTCCCTAAATTATATATTTGAAGAGAAGTGTTTTCTAAATATACTGTGCTTGCAAGATTCATGTGTGAAAATCTTAACATGAAAGATATTTAAAGACAGGTTTTAATTCAGTTGATTAAGATGCTGAAACATAACAGTTTCTAAAAGCAGTTATAGAATGATCTTAAAATAGTCGTACTATATGTTTCTTTAGTGAATCATACTTTCATGAAAGAAAATATATATTGGCCATATTCGTATGTTCCGAGCGTATGTCTGTGTGTTTGCTTGCTTGTTTGTTGTACTAATGTGTCATGGTTTATAGATATGATGACAAATTTGTTAAAATTAAAAAGGGGCAGTGAATATTTGAATAAAAGCCTAAAGGTTATTAAATATTTCCAGAATACTACTGATTCAGGAATTAGTTTATATAAGAAGCAACTGCCATGGTTACGTTTGACTAGTACATTCTTAACAAAGCTTACTAAACTATCCTAAGCATGTCGTTACCATTTTCTCGGCACCAGATGTGATGGTTATACCACCACAACTCATTCTTCTGAAATTAGGCAGTTCCTGATGAAGATTTTGCTGTCAGAACAGTGGAATGGCATTGCATTCACCATTCTTTGGCGTAACCTGCCCTTGTTGTAAATAGTACACCTGGAGAAAATGGTTCACCTATATAGGTAGCCTACTTATGATGAGCAGGTAAATCAGTCAGTACAAGCCAGATAATCAGGTTTGAACCCCAACAGGGGCAGAGGATTGATTTTCCCTTTTTCCCCCTCTGCATCCACCCAGCCTCCCATCCAATGGGTGTGGAGGGTTCTTTTCCTAGCTGTAAGGCACTGAGGCATGGTGCTGATTACTCACCCCTTTCTAGTGCCAAGGTTGAGAATGAGTAGGAGCACCTACATGGTGCCCAACAGGTTGGCTTTACCTTTTAATTTTTATGTTTTTAGTAACTGTTGTTATGAGATGTGTGAGAATAGAATTTATTTATATTCAGTAGGTTCATTGGCCTAAGATACAGAACGTAGCACAAATAAAATACAGGTAGCTCTCGAATTGCGCCGATTTTGAAACTAGCAAGTCAAAAAGTTAAAAAAAATACTATTATTTATAACGTTTTACAATGTATCTCGAACTGATTCTTATACTAAATCGTAATTCTTACATCGCTGATTTTGAATAAAAATTATAAATACAGTCATCTCTGCAGTTACGTATGTTTCGTTAACGCGAATTTGCTCAAATGAGATCGATGAATCGGTTTTGCTCTTATGCAATTGAGGCCTTTTCGTGAAATTTTTAAATTTCTTTTAAAAACATGACGATCCTCAACCAGGGACTTCGTCAGAGAACTAACGCCGCTTCATCACGCCATCGCCGATTGTAAGTGTTTAAAATATATATTTTTTAAATTCCCTTTATTTTATTTACGTTATTTCAGAACTTTAAGTGTAATTCCATTATATCACTCGTCAATGTTTGGGTGCAGGGAACGCATGTCATTGACTTCCCACTGATTTACATTATAAAAGAGTTTCAATTTACGCCGATTCGTCCAGGAACGCATCCCCGGCGTAAATCGAGGGTTACCTGTACTTGTTTCTGTTACAAATATAAATTACATATTTGTGACTGATTTACAGTAAACTACAGTATTATAGCAAAAGTAATTGCACAAGGAAGCATCACTATTATTTCTTACGTGTATTTATAATAGGTGAGAAGTTTTGGTTGAGGTTAGTTCCTCTTTGGAGTAGAAGGAGTGAGATAGGAGATATTATTAGTGCTGGCTTAAACTTCATTATGTTGCGATTCAGACTTTTGGATGTAGGAAGATTATTGAATAGCTCAATTCTAATCCTTTTTTCTGAGGTTAGTGTTTGGCACATGAAAGTTATAACTATATTTTGTACTTGCAGTAAAGAATTGTAAACTCTTAAGCGTATCATTTCAATATGTACTTCGTAACAGTTATAGAAAGAATGAGCAATGACACTACAACCATAACAACAAAGTATCTTACTGAAGCAATCCCTAAAACCTTTCCAAACATCAATATTATGCCGACAACAGTAAATTAAATTAAAAGAAAAGAATTCTTCAAACAAACAATGTGTGGTTGTAATGGAGGATGAAGGAATGACCTAGAGAGAAGATGGCAACTTTTATTCCATCCCTCATATGAACAGTTCTCAAACAGAAAATTAACCAAGATATATAAGATAAGATGACACTGTGACCCGAATTACATTATTTCAACAAAAGTGTATTAACACATGGTAAAGAGAACAAATAGTTCGGAGTATAGAAGACTGCCTAGGGTTGATTTTCACTCTCATTCAACTAATAGCCGCAGGCCGTATTTTTTGTGTATCCTAGAATAGACGTGGCTGTCGTGATGCATATTTCATACACTAGCGAACTGTACAAGTGCGGTGTTTCGTCCGCCTTTCCCAATACCAGAATGACACCTTCGCGTGTCCACGTTTTTTGCTGTGATGTGTATGTACTGTATAAGTAGGCGAAATTGTTTGCTGGGTTGAGGATAAAACTGTAGATGGATACGATGCGTTCCTCCGGAACGCTGGTAACCTCCCAACGACGTCACAACCAAGAAACCCACAACGGACAATTCATTAAAATTCTTAGCTGGTCTTACGAGTAATGAAACCTATTCATTTCTTCTCTATCACAATTTTTCTCCCAGCAGAGCCTCGTTTATGCTAACGGGTTGAACATCGTGAAGGCGAGGTGGAAATATGTCGGACGAAATTCGTTCTGTAAATCTTGCCCCTCATACGGGGCAATTTCAGAAATTTAGCCGATGCTAAATTTGTATCGCTAAATTTAATTATATATTTTAGCAGCTATTAAAGCAGTTCGTTATCAGCCGGAATGCGGTGTACTTACAGTATAGCCCATAAGTGTCGCAACACTCGATACGATTTCAGAAGCTGCAGAGTTTATAAATAGGACTAAAGCAACTTTTTTTTTGTTAAGTTGCGATGCGTGGCCGTTCTTGAGACCGATGTAACTGCCTGGACCAGAAGCTCTCTTGAAAAGTGAGCCTCATAGATAGTCTTATCAAGACGTTCTCAATCGTTTTTGATACCCGAAAGTTCATTGCCGCTGTACTTAGGGCCTTTGCAAAGAATCCATCCAAAGTCCGAGGACCCATGTACGTTTCCGCTCTTTAACGGTGCGTAGTTCTTATCCTGCTCAAAACCCATTTCGTAGAACCAGGCTCATACAGACCTACGAGGATCTAGCTCCGGTTTCATTCATTGCCCTGATGATGGAGGCAGCAAGCACATGTGAAACATCAGTAAGCTTCTTCAAACACCCCAGAATGCAGTCGTCTTCCGTTTGTCAACTAGTTTGAAGTTTCAATAAATCGTCGTTTGTAGCCTCGAGGCCCGTGAGTGGATTAAAAGGGCGGATGTGGACGTGAGAACCCCTGGAACGATTTCTCTGTGGCCTTTGCACCTCTGAACTGCACTGCTTATCGGGATGTGTGGCTTTTATTATAGGGAATTCCCACGAGCATTAAATTGCGTCTCATAAACGGATCATTTCAAAGAGACACGAACATCAAATTATTATTTAATTTATGTTAGCGTTTCTCGGCCGACTGGCTTAAAGCTGTGATTTTCCGTTGTAGCAGTCAACGCGGCCTTCCCCGGGGTTCACGGACTCTTTTACGCAGCGGCTTGTTCATTTGTTTATCTGACCTTGCTGCTTGTAATTGATTTTGTCGAGAAGCCTTCCATTCCTTTGTTTTGTTTGGGTGCTGATCTTACATAACTGGTACGTCGATTTATCGTTCTGTTACGACAACCGTTTTGGTTTAGTGATTTCAAGACAAACGTCTTCTTGTGGGGAGACGTGCAGTATTTACTCTCCTGCCATTACTCAGAGTAGTTTTGGATCTCGCTCGCACCAGTAATCATCCTCTCTTCGCAGTTAATACTTTGCTCTGAGGTTTCTATCATGAGACGCCTGTCCGCTGAGATGAAATAACTTTCGGAAGTAATTGCACAAGGACGAAATTAATTGTTTCCATAGTTATTGTTATTATCAACATGGAAATATTCATGAAGTAGGTACACAGATGTAATCTACATATGATTTTAACTTCAAGCGCAGATTGCCGATGGCGTATGCAACTAATTTAAGTGAAGCTGTGTTCATGAGAGCAGATAGTACAAAGAGGAAGTTGGTTGGTAATGGAATAATTTATTAGGTCTATATTCAGTAAGATGTAATGCAAGAAATTGCAACGTAAATCCTCGTGGGCTTATCCATTTACATTTTTACACTTACTGTGTAAATTATTAGATATAATACTGATAAAGGCTTAGTGGGAAACTGACATATTACTTTTACTGTGTATCCGTTAAGTTGTAATTGTTCGATAATTTATAAAAAAATTTAACACGTGAAAAATGTTAAACAGGTATTTCAGATTTGTGTGAGATTCAGCTTGATTGGAAGTCCTGCACGTTTAGTATCGGACACAAATTTCACTTCATTATAGACGATGTCTCAGACCATAGTTTGGCCACTTACGCGTTAGCAGTGGTTCCAAAACTTTGGCTCGGAAACGTTTTGGAGTTTGCGAAATATGTAAAGAGGTTCGCTGAAAAGAATGCTTAGACCAATTGCGGTTGTTGTAGTGTAATTCTAAGGTAGCCTACATTTACGTTAAATAGTAGGCCTATTATATATGGCAGGTTGTAGTGCTCTGTATGTTTTCTTTAAAACATAATTGTGCACTGCAGGATAATATTAAAATATATCTTAAATGCGCAGGATCATAAAGAACTTAATTTGTTTTTCAGTTCTGAAACATCGAAAGGTTCTACCGCGATGGTAGTTGGCTTGCCAGTTTATGATCGCAACTGAAGATGAAGTGAGCCCGTAGTTTTAGGCTGTCTGCCGGCTCTGAGCCAATCCGTGATCATTTGATCTTGTCCGTGTATACATCTCTCGTATTAAGAAGACTTTTATGTGGCATACGAAGTGAGGAAGCATGCCTTGTGTGATGTAAGTTGGCTCGACTCCCAAGGCCAGTTACCAATAAAAGGTCTCGAAGCGTTGATAAGATTTGTTGTTAGGTGCTGAAAAATATAAAGGTTGTGGGCCTTGGGGTGTTTGGTGGTCAGATTATGGCCCCAGCAGAGAAAGGTAGGCTGCCCGCTGGCCGTAAATACTCCCAGAGTAATGTGACGTGGTTGGATCCAGTTTGTAATTTGAGGAAGACTTAAACTCTGGTCATTCTGCATGCTAAGATTTTTTTTTCATTTTCATTTTCATTGTAGCTGTTGATGTGGGTAGACTTTTTCAGTGTAAGTTTTAGCGAGTTGTTTTAGTCTTGAGTAGCCCTGGTGACGCGACTATTTGCAGTTTGTGTCGCTGAAAAGAAATGAGGAAAGGAAAGTGGTGTATGTGTCTAAACCAGATCTTTCTCCTCCAGAGGCATGTGTCTTTGGGGAAGAAGTCTGTTGACAATTTTTACAGAATTTAGCATCGGCAGGTATCGAATTATTATTTATTGGAACCAGATATTCTTATAGAAACAGGCGCCTTCTTAAACAGCAACGAATCGATATTTGAAGAAGACATAAACGTCTGCGAACAAGGGATGGAACTCGTCCTCGCTTTCCCCAGGAATTATGAAGAAAACATAAAGTCATGCACTGACGTTCTGTTATCAGTATTGAAGATTTGCCGTGAGTTTCTTTGATATAAATATTCCTTTTTGACCGCTCCACGTGTTTGTTGCCGACACAAAATGGATAGGCGTTAGATCTATTTCACAACCAGTCTCATCCTTTGATCTGGTTTAAAATTGTTTTAATTCCGATTGTCTTTTATTGGCATTGCTTCTGCTGTGTGTCCGCGAATATTTTTTCCAGGTGCCAGTGGTGAAGGTTGAGGCTGTTTACATGTTTCATCATCATTCTATGCCAGTACTTTATTCTGTAAGTAGCACATCTGCTTGCTAAGCTGTTGGCAGTGAAATAATTTTCCCACTCGAAACTTCACTTAACAGATGAAGCGTTTTTAGACTGCAGAATTAAAAGAACACTCAACTCTTTACCTGTAGGCACATTGTGGAGAATGAGGGCCCCAGAGCCCTGTTCAAGGGACTAGGCCCCAACCTGGTGGGAGTAGCCCCATCCCGAGCTATCTACTTCTGTGCTTATTCGCAGACCAAGAGCTTTTTCAACTCTGTTCTCAGCCCCGACACCGCCATCGTCCATGTCTGCTCGGCGTCATGTGCAGGTCAGTACATTTCTTCCCTACGCAGTGGGGTTTGGAGGGAGGGAGTGAGTAGTGCTTAAGGGCTTTTGTTTTAACATTGCTTCTGTCCTTGTGATGACGTCGTGTTGTGGCGAAGTGGTGTGCCGGCGTTATGGAGATATGTACGATCGCATCTTCAGGGTGACTGCCCTGTAGCCGGGCACTAGAATGCCCCTGAACTTCGCTGTAGACACCGCAACATTTCTGGACTTCGTCCTGGATGTGATCAGTATCTGCGGAAATCCGTGTAAAACTGGAGATTTCTTTATCTTCAAGACTTCTCACTGCAGATGGAGACTGCAATGTCGTGTGATTTCGGTCCAGCGATAAAGATTGCAGTGACTGTCTCAGGACTTCGCTTTAAGATGGAGACTGCCACACCTTTGGACTTGGCGCTTAAGTGGAGAACGGTGTCTTGGGGGCTTAGCAATGAGGGCAGTGAGTGAGTGCACTGTCTCCGATATGTAGACATACCAGCTCGCCACAATGCGGTTCCCTTTTCCGAAAGAAGACATTCTACTACGAACCACTGCATTATCATTCAGATTACGATAAATTATAACATGTGCTTTTGTGGCTTCGTGTAGTCTGTGTGTTCTGTTCTGTGCCGTTCCGTTGTTAACTTAGATGTTTTGTGTTCTGATGTAAGGCCGTTGTAATAAATATTGTGTGAAGCATGAATGTAGTTACATTTTTGCAGTTTTCGTGTCATCTAACATGTGGGTGGGGTTTGTCGCCGAATTTAAATGAAATTATAATTGCGTCATTTGAATTACCTCAACATATTTTTTTTCACATAAAAGTCAATGTGTTCATGTACTAAATCTTCTCTTAGCGTCAGAATAGACATTATATACATATTACAGCAGGTTTTATGATGGATGTATGTTTAAGAGTTCGTCATTTGTTATTTTGGGCATTTTTTTAAATGTGAATGGATACTGTTTGTTCTTGAAGGCATTTTGGTAGTTTTCGTCAAAATTTCGCCTTTGTAAATTGGGAGGAAAGGGTCTGGTTTCTTTTTCTCGTCTCTGCCAGTGGGTATTGGAGGATTTTTCTGCTGGGGCTAAGCGACAGCTCACCACTCACCTCGACGTCGGTGAGTATGGAGATGGTTGCCACTTATGGTATACCTTTACTCCTTCATACGAATTGCATTTTCATACACTGACTGAAACAATGGAACTATAAAATACTAACAGTGCAGGCACACGCGCTATTTCTATAGCCTAAACGTGATAATTTCACTTCCAATAGTATTCAAGGAAGAACTGGGTTGGTTATAAGTCTACCGGACCCAGAGTTATTTTGCAGTCGTATACTTTATAGAAGCCACGGTGGTCTAGCGGTTAGAACGCTGGCCTTGTAATCCTGGGGTCTCGGGTTCGATTCAGTCCGAGAAAAGGATGGAAGGATCCTGTTCATATGGACCTGTCGTCAGACAGAACACTAAATAAATAATATAAATAAATACTTTATAGCCCCTAACAAATTATTAGTTGAACAACGTTTATCTTTCCGCGTTTCATCTAAAATTTTCAAATATAAGTTCCCCTGTGAAATATATATGAAGCTTGGTGGTTTGTACATAAGAATTTTTGAGAGAACGAAGTTCTGCGTAGAACATTTGAACGTAAGAACGTAAGAACGAGGAAGATAGTCGTAATAAGAAGCTTTGTAATTTGTGCTGTTCATCTAATTTCATTTAGAATACCTGTGCCAAGGAGGGCGAAGTAGTCTGTTTAATATTTAGTGTCTAATATGATTTAATGAGTGTTCCCTTGCATGCCTTTGTGTCTCGGAGTTCGTGTTGTTGTTAAACTGCCCATTGTCGTTTACGCCTGTGTATGTGAAATGAATTAGTAAAACATTATTCATTCACCAATTTGAACATTGAAGTTGTTTTCGATAAGTCTTGCTCCGTTTGATTATCTGAAGCCTTGGGATTTGTAACAGTTTTATAATCTATGCGTAATGACACATCCAATCAGTCACCACTCGAACTCATGTTGAATGAGTCGTTACGTAACGTAAGCCTACTGCAATTAAGTTGCGTGTTTCTCTTGTTTTGTGTGAGAATGCTGTCTCAGCTGCGCAGATTGTATTGTAAACAATGATTATATGTTAATGCTGTTGAAGGAAATTACACTGGTATGTTTTAATGGAGTTTTCCATCAGTTACTTTGTGCGACTGAAGTAAACAAACTTTCTTCGGGATAGCCTGCTGAGGTACGAATTCGAGCTCTCCTGGGTACAAAGGATCTTAATTACTCAGCCACAATATTATAATTTTACTTCGTACATTTATTTAACATGAGCCGGGATAGCTCAGTCATATTTAACACTCTAAAGCCCAGTATTAACTATGCCTACTGCCTTCATAAGCCGCAACTCTGTATTTTGTCCATAGTGTGTTTACTAGTCTCCGATTATTCTTAGGGTAAACAGTGATTGTTTACTTTAACTGCATTTAGTAATTAATCTTAAGCCTTGTGCTTTCCTCGCGGTAGGGGCAGAATTTTTAAATACTTCGACGAGCTTCGCCTTCAGGGGGTTGAACGTTATCTCAGAAAGTTTTCGTGATCTCGGTAGGCACCACGACAATGATTTGTGGGGGGTTAAACATGTCTCCAGGGTATTAGGAGCAGGACAGTTGATTGGAACCATTGCTAGTTTGGACGCCTTCTTCGACTTCTGTATAGGAGTCTACAGCTATTTCTGCCTGTCCTCCTCCTCTCTCTACGTCTGTCTTAACTTGGTCTGTCCATCGTATACGTGGTCTGCCCCTGGGTCTTCCCAGTGTCGACGTCTTGTCAGAAGTTAAACTCCGCCCTGTAGCCAGTCGTTGTACCAACTGAGCTGGCTGAACTAGTCCGGATTTTCACTATGATTTCTTGTGTTTCGTTAAGTACACAAAGTATTTGTTACTTTTTATCGTAGTTTTTATTTAGAAGGCGTGTAGCTGTAGTTTTCTGCTGCGAGAATTCAGAAGTGGTATTGTAGTTCACGTAGAATCTAGAGCGAAAGTTACAATGTGCCTGATCTACCATTTCAGTGTATTTCTGTCGACTTTGTTGGTATTATCCTTTAGCTCACGTTTGCAGACGTAAGTTAACGATTGTGGTGATTGAAGGCCGGGAGGAGTTGAAGATGCTTTTAAGTAAATCTGGCGCATCGCATGCCGGACGTTTAATGGCGCTCCGTTCTCTTTATTATCCTAATATTTTTGTTCTAAGGCTTATTTATTTGTGATACGTTTAACGACGTTGTTAGTCGCTCAGAGTATGATAGCGTCGAATGATAGAAAAATAAATGCGTTGAACAGATAATGGAAGGAAGAGGCTCGATTTTACGTCTTATGCTGGCATTTGCCAAGAGGGACTGAGGGAAAATCACGAGAAACCTGAGGATACTTGGTTTCCACGCCGAAATTTGAATCGGTGATCCCCGAATACGAAACAGGAAGTTGGACACTTTGACTGTGTCCAGTATGTTGTCGATGGCTGTTTGATGGGGTGAGATCTGCCACCATCCAGCAGACCCTTCGTTTTAAGAGAGGGTAGTGACTCTAGGGCTGGGGCCTACGTGACTGAACACACGTTGTAGCACGCTGCTGGACCGAATGGGGTCATGAATGTGTTACCAACATTTCCAACAGTCGTATGGTCGTAGGTGGCCTTAACCATGCCCGACACGTTACATGTTTCGAAATCTCCAGAACGTGTGGCTCTTTGAGCTATAGACAATGACAGTCTTATTATCAGACGATGATGTGTGGTTTCCGTTTGTTTCCAACATCTTATTGGTTCGAGCGTCATAATTGTGAACACTTTTCCTGATGCCGAGTCCAGTATGAGAACACTTAGCACCCATTCGAGAAAGCCTGAATTCATGTGCGGTATTTATTTCGAGTCTTGAAGGAACAAGACCATTTGGAGAAACAGACGTACATGGTTCAGACAATCAGCGTTTGAGGATGTGAATTTGATTCGTCTGGTTTGCTATAGGATCCTATAGCATGTTTAATGCGTTTGTCGCTGATGTAGCCGTATGTACGAGACTGTTAGATTTGCATCGTGTGTATCGACTCTGTTTCAACTGAAGAGGT